TGTTATTCTTATACTACTTTAAATAGCATTTTCATGAATTTTTCACTTTGTATCTAGAAATGATACAATTATTTTTGTATATTTATCTAATATCCAGCAATACTGCCTAACTCACTTATTTTTCTAATATCTAATCTAGTTTTTATACATAACTGTATCATCTGTGAAAATGACACTTTTACCTTTTTAATCCTTTTACATATTACATCTTTTTCTTATCTGACTGGACTGGCAAGGACTGCAAGTAACAATGTGGAATAAAGATGATAATAGTAGACCTTCTGATCCTTTTCTTGATCTCAAAGGGAAAGCTTTCATTCACCATTCCACCACTGAATTTATATATATTTATTTTATATATATTTATACATATATATTTCATATATATATATAAAACACATATGCATACATACTCTTTATCAGATTAAGCAAGATTCCTAGGATAAGTTTGCTAAGAGGTTTTAAAATGAATGGATGTTGAATTTTACCAAATGCTGTTCCTGCACTGATCGATATGGTCATATATTTTTCCTCTTTTATTCTCCTACTGTGATCAACTACACTGACTGATTTTTCAAAAGATAACTTACATACCTGGAATAAACCCAACTTGGTAATGATTTAGTGTCCCTTTTAGATTCAATTCGCTAATTGGATTCAATTTGCTAATATTTTGCTTAGGATTTTTGCATCTATGTTCATAAAAGGTATTTTTTTAATCTTTGTCATGATGTCCTTGACGGTTTTTGCTTTCAAACTATACTTACTGGCTTCAAAAAATTAGTCAGGGAGTGCTCCTTCTTTTTCTGTTCCCTGGATGAGTATGTATGAGATTGTTCTAATTCTTCTTAAATGTTTGGTAGAATTCGTTGGTGAAGCTATCTGGCCCGGGACTATTCTTCATGAAAAGGATATTTTTATGGACTCCCCTGGGAAAGGAATGGAAACCCTGAGAATCTTCCATTGTCCAGGGACTTCTGAGGGGTAGACCTGAGAGAGAGAGAGAGGTAGTGGTGTATGGCATTTCAAGTTGCCTGACATTTTCCTAAAAGGACCTTGCCCTTAGTTCTCACGTATCTCGCCACACTCTCCCTGAGTCAGCAGCTTCTATGGGATAACAGGTCTGGGAGCATTAGTTCTCAGGCTGCCTGATCCCACCTTCCTGATGACCCAGAGGCGGGTCTTTCAGAGGAGAAGGCCCTGGTGTTGGGCAGAAAGCAGTGAGGAGGAGGTGGAGGAGGGACTGGTTCAAGCAGACAGAGGCTCTTTGTTTGCTCTGCTTCTTTGTAAATGAAGCAACATTTGGAAACAACAAATATTGGTTCAGAGGACCAGTGCCTTCCTGCCCACCCCCTTTAGGTCAGCTACCCAACCCCTGGCACGTACACGCACGCTCAGCTCTTTCTACGAGAGGGCCAATGCTGTTGAAATTTACATTTTATTCAGTTTATGGTGGAAGATTTAGGTCATGACTTGGATTGGTCTGTAACAGGAAGCTCTCTTAACTCCTCTCGCTCTGATCTCCCTCCCTCCCTTCTTCCCTTTCTCCCCTCCTCCTCTGGATAAATAAAAAGAAGATCAATATCAAGAAGGCAGCTGTGGTCTAAAGAAGGCTGGGACTTAGGAGATTTGAGTTCAGGTCCCAGAGCTCTGTGAATAAGGACCTGTCATTTTACTGTGGTGTCCACCTCTGAAAAATGGCGGACTGATCTGATCTCCTAAGGTAGTTGGTCCAAATCACGAGATCTTGCCCCAGAACAGTGTCTGGCACATGGAAGGGCTGAAAACGTGATACTTTCCTCCTATCTGAACATAATAAGCCAGTGTGTGCCTGCAGTTCTGTAGTCGGGGCACTCAGACGGCTCCCAGAGGGACAAGCCCCCTGCAGACCAAAACCTGGGGCTTCGTGTCTGTGGAGAAATGGCAGAGCTCCGAGTGCCCTGTCTGTCCTTCTCTCAGTGGGATCACAGATGAGCTCTTAGCCTCTGTGTGTCCCTGTTTTCTGGGAGAGGCAGTGTCCCCAGTGGATGGGTATGTACACTCTGGAATCAGATGGCCTGATTTTGCATTGACTTGTCAATTGACCTGGGACAAGTTATTAATCTTTCAGGACTTCCGTTTCCTCATCTTATCTGTAAATGGGGATTCTAATGCACCAATCTCTGAGGGCTGTGGTAAGTACCCAGTAAAGCTCCTAATAAGTGTTAGCCGTCATGAAGTTGTAAAAGAGGGATAATGAGTTTCCTGACTCCAGAGCGTCTCTGGTGTAGAATTAAACACCATAAGGGAAAGCACAGGCACAAGAGTCACAGGCAACTAAGGACACAAAACACTGTTATGGTAACTTCTCACTTCTACACCCCCATACACATGACAGATGTGGGCACAGCCATACAACCGGAGTCGTGCACACATGTACACCCCACAGCCAGCCTCACCCCTGCCTCCGAGGACTAGGGCAGCGACAGGAAGAAGGGCAGCAGCGGCCACTCTTCCCCATTGGTGAGGCAGGTATTTGGATAGCAGGGCTTGTCTTACGTCCCCACTGTAAACAGGAAGTCCCTGCTAAAGCAATGTTTTCTACAGTGGGGCAAGCGTAACCCTTTGTATATGAGACAATCTACTGGAGTGTGGGAGAATACAACCTAACTTCCAGTTATATTTATTCTTTTTTTTTTTTGATGAGGAAGATTCACCCTGAGCCAACATCTGTTGCCACTCTTCCTTTTTTTTGCTTGAGGAAGATTAGCCCTGAGCTAACAACTATGCCAATCTTCCTCTATTTTATATGTGGGTTGCTGCCACAACATGGCTGATGAGTGGTGTAGGTCCGTGCCTGGGATCCAAACCCATGAACCTCATCCACTGAAGCAGAGCATGCTGAACTTAACTACTAGGCCAACAGGCTGGCCCCTAACTTCTAGTTATATTTATTCTTTTCTTTTTTTTTTTTTTGTGAGGAAGATCAGCCCTGAGCTAACATCTGCCAGTCCTCCTCTTTTTGCTGAGGAAGACTGGCCCTGAGCTAACATCCATGCGGATCTTCCTCCACTTTATGTGGGACGCCGCCACAGTACGGCCTGACAAGCGGTGTGTCTGTGTGCACATGGGATCTGAACCCAGGCCACCAGCAGTGGAGTGTGCACACTTAACCGCTACGCCATGGGGCCGGCCACGTCTTTTTTTTTTTTTTTTTGAGGAAGATTGGCCCTGAGCGAACATCTGTTGCCAATCTTCCTCTTTTTTTTTTCTTTATTTTCTCCCCCAAGCCCCCAGTACATAGTTGTATATCCTAGTTGTAGGTCCTTCTAGTTCTTCTATGTGGCACACTACCTCAGCATGGCTTGATGAGCGGTGCGTAGGTCTGTGCCCAGGATCCGAACCGGTGAACCCCGGGCCGCTGAAGTGGAACACGCGAACTTAACCACTGCACCACCTGGCTGGCCCCCAGTTATATTTATTCTTAATGCAAAAGACTAACAAATTAACATTCATTCCTATTTCATATGAGGATTGGCACTGGTCTGTAGGCCAGAGAGAGGGATTGCAGGTGGAGCCTTTGCAGTGTCCTGAGTGAAGATGGGGAACACCTCCTGGGGTGGGGTGCGGAGGGCGGTGCTGGAAGGTTGTGACTCCCTGACCTGTCCCGTGATTTTGGCTTGTGTGGTTCCACATTGTGGTTTGCATGTGCCTAGTCACCTGGATGTACAGATTGGGCAATGTGGTTTAACTCACCAAACCTCAAAAGATGCACAAATGCCTTAAAAAGATGCCAAAGAAACTTGAATTAGAAGATGATTCTGTTAACACAAACACAAGTGAACGAAAATAAAATGGAAGTACTGCCACATCTTCTAGGCCTGGTATCAATTAGTGTAAATAGAGCCAAAAATAATGATCATCTGATCAGATTGGATAAGAAGTAACGTTTAGAAATGACGACTGGAATATGGATTTATATCCACCATCAGGAACCTCGACCTTTCCCTAAAGTGTGTATTTTGCCTTGAGATATTATTCATTGTACATAAGGCAGCATAAACAGAGGGACAGTTAAAAATGAGTATTTCATCTTTGATCATTTTATAAATTTCTATTCCTCTCATGATTGAAATATATGAAATATATTGGTGTAAGAAGTACATATATAGAATGTACCACCTCAACTTTTTCCTGATAAGGATGTGCGATCAAAACAGTTTGGAGACCACTTAGCTGGAGAGAGCCGGGGATGGCCCAGGGCATTGCCATCAGGCCACACCCTCCCCTGCGCCCCCTTCTTTGTGCTCACCATTGCACTTTGTTCTGAGTCTCACAGAGTCTTGACTACATTCCAGGGCAGCTTCTTATGGGAGAGAACTCGTCTCTCCTGCGACTCTGTCCCCAGGCCGAGGTGTCTGGCAGGCTGCATGAAGGGAAGGAAGGTTTCCAGTCCAGGAGTCTTAGCTCAGCCCAGCATGTGGGGGGAGAGCAGCTCTTCAGTGTGGCGGGCCTCTAAGAGACCAGGAGCAGGGGTTCAGGGGACACCTGGGAACAAGAGAAGGGTGTGAGCTTGTTGTCTTTGACTTGAGGCCAGCTCTATTCTTCTCTGACACCCTCTCTCAGGAAGGTCTTTTGTCATTTTCTGGTTCTAGTCTGGATCGGGGGCAGTTCCCTTCCCTCTTCCATCTGTGGAGTGAGCACTTGGGACTGGTGCAGGACCAGCTCTGGCATCCGGATTCAGGAGCAGAGCCACCCCTGCCCCTGTCCATTGTAGCTTCGCTCCTGGCACAGAGTGAGCAGCATTAACAAGGGGTTGATTTTTCTCTAATTCCCTTTCAATCAGCATTTTTGTGCTGGATTCCACCCACGGATCTGTCCCAGAGCTCAGGGAATGAGGTGATCAGCCTGGGCGAGGAATGAAGGGGGAGGGATGAGGGGCGATTGGGCAAGCGGGCTGCGCAAACACAGGAGGTCAAAGGTTGTGCTCTGCCCGCTGGGCCGGGGATAAATGGGCACGGGGCTTGGGGAGGCAGCACAGAAGCCGATCGGTCTGTGCTCGCCGCTCCGCGCCTCAGACCAGGGAGGATGAGGCTCGCCGTCCGCGCCCTGCTGGCCTGCGCGGTCCTGGGTGAGTGCCGGCGCGGGGAAGGCCTGCAGAGTCGCCGGCCCGGGCGCCCCTTGCACCCCTGACCCCGCCACACCGCCCTCTGGGCTGCGCACTCGGGCTGGAAGCGGGGGCGCCTTTCCTTCGCTCCTCCCGCAGTCCCGCAGCTGCTTCAGTACCGCCTCAGGGGCAGCTCTGCGCCTGCGCGCACCTGCTGGGCCGGCTTGTGCCTCTGCCGCCTTTTCATGCTCTCCTGGCCTCCTCCTCCTTGTCCGGTAAATCTTGTAGTAGTGGAATACAATAAAATAGAGAACTTTCATCATGGTTTATCAAATCCCTTAGCTGTGGCCTCCTAGGCAAGTCCAAACTGCTTAGCGTAGCATTCAAGGCATCCCGGGATCTGACTCCGCCCTCTCCTTGGCAGTCTGATGTCCCATGGGTGCCCTTGGCGCTGATGATGTCCTGCTAATGAGGCAGGGCCTCCAGGGGTTCGGGCGTGGGATTGGAAGCCAGACTTCTTGGGTCCTCGCCAATGAGAAGGGTGGTACAGCCCGGGCCTGGGAGGGTCAGGTGAGGGTAAATGAAACGGTGGATCCAGGCACCAGTGGGGTTTGCTGCACGCATGCCTGCTGTGGGGCCTGCCGCTGCATGGCCTCTCCCACTCGCATCACCTCCTGAGATTGCTGGGCCCCCCTTTTCCTCTAACGTTTGCCTGCCACTCATGGTGCATTTGTCACACCTTTGGAGACTTCCATGTTTAGTTATTTGTCTCTTCTGAAAAAGTTTACCCTTAAGAGTCGGCCCCAGGGGCCGGCCTAGTGGTGCCAGCGGTTAAGTGCCTGCACTCTGCTGCTCGGCCCGGGGTTCGCCGGTTTGAATCCCGGGTGCAAACTGACGCACCACGTGTCGAGCCATGCTGTGGCGGTGTCCCATATCAAGTAGAGGAAGATGGGCATGGATGTTAGCCCAGGGCCAATCTTCCTCAGCAAAAAAACGAGGAGGATTGGCAGATGTTAGCTCAGGGCTGATCTTCCTCACAAAAAAAAAAAAAACAGCCGGCCCCACATTACTTGCCTGAGTCCCCCTCCACCACAGAGCACCTCCTAGGGCTGTGTGTGGCTGAGGACAAATTCCTGCCCGAGGACAAATTCCTGCCCATGGGACCTCAGGAGGAATGGTCTGGGGAGGGTCTGGAGGAGCGGTTTGGGGGAGGGGTCTGTCACTGTCTTTTCATGCCTCCTGTGATTTTCCATGGGAAGAGGTGGGACAAAGGGTGGTTGGGGCAGTAAGTTCCCTGGGCCCCTCCTTATGCATCCTGGAGAACTGTTGCCCTCTGTTCTCTTGCTTTGTGCTTTGGATATTCATCAGCTTTCCTCAGTCAGCCCTGTGCTGTTGATCTTCAGAGGGTGGAGATGACAGAGGGCTTTGGGGACAGTGCCAATGCTCACATCATGGGGACAACATGTCTGCAACCATACAGGTTTTGATAGCTACAGACATGACTGGCTTTAGCTTTCTTCTAAAGCCAAGAAGACTGGGAACAATTGAGGAAGGGGTCAGCGAAAACAGAGAGAACCATTGAATATGTAGTTTCTAGCTATTCCTGGAACATAGGATGACAGATGAGTGTTGCAAGCAAATTCATTATCTCCTCAATCTATTTTCCCTATCTACCGGCCAAGCAGAGGGAAAATAACTGAGACTGTTGTCTTCTTTTTTTCCCTGGGCAGAGACCAAAGTCTGGAGACCTGGCTTTTAGGCCTGTCTTGGCCACCTACAGGCTGGGTGACCTTGGGTAAAGCAACACTCTCTGAGCACAGTTCCCTCATTTCTTCAAAATGGTCATTCATACTCTGCTGGCTTCCCAGAGTTGTGGGGTTGAGCCAATGCCGTGAAGTGGCAGAAAATGCCCTGTCACACTGATAAGGCTTATGTCGTATGGCAGTCCCATGATGATGAGTGAAGGAAGCACAGAAAACACAAAGGAGCAGATTGTGGTCTCCATTTGAGAGCTGGTGGTCCACCTGGCATCCCTCTGGCCAGCACAGGGTGGTCAGCAGAAAACTAGGAGACCATTAGGGTTCCCTTCTCTTGTCCCCAGCCTCAGAATGCAGTGGAACCTGTGCCTTGTGGTGTTCACGGACAGGAGTGGGAGGAAAACAGGACAGAGGGGACGTAGCCTTCAAGACTCTTCAGAGGGTGCTGCTGTCTCTCCCACTGGCACAGGGACCTCTGGCCTCTTTCCCATAGGGCTGTGTCTGGCTGACCAAACTGTGAGATGGTGCACCGTCTCAAATCACGAGGGCAGTAAGTGCAGCAGTTTCCGCGACAGTATGAAAAGTGTCCTTCCTGCTGGTCCTTCTGTCGTCTGTGTGAGGAGAAACTCTTACATTGAGTGCATCAAGGCCATTGCGGTAAGTCACTGCTGCCTAAGGGAGAGTGGAAGAAAACCCATACTTTCTCTCTTCTGATGTTTTGGAACAATTCTTTACTCACAGGTAGGAGGCTGATGGGTGGGGCAGTCAGCCCTCAATGCTAATAAAACCACTTCAGAAATGGAAATTGCTGTGGTCATTTTAACAAGTCTTAAAGCAAAATCCAACATGCTCTGGAAGGGAACTATTTTGGGGTACTAAGTTCTCTGAACTCAGGGGAAAAAACAAGAATGTTTGCTATCAGAATTATCATGTAACATGGGTTTGGAAGTTCTTGATACATCATGGGAAGTAGACGAATGATGCTCCCAGGGAAGAGGAATATGGGACCATGATTGCAGGGGATGGCTGATCCCTCTGTTTTGTAGGTTTTCCAAAATACTCTTCACTCCTTCAACATTGTTCCTGCACATCTGAACATGTGTGAGACCCTGTGCTGTGCAATGGGGCTGCAGTGGTGAATTTAAACACACATGGTCCTTACTCTTGAGGAGCTTACAGTCTAGTAAGGAGAGAAGAAAAACAAGCAAACAAGTAAAAATGTAGTTTCAAATTGTGTGATGTACAATGAAGGCAAAGAGTAGAATGCTCTGACAGACTTTCAGAGGAAAGTTGCTTTGGTCTGGGTGTGACAGTCTCCCTCAGAAGGAAGCAATGAAGCTGAGACCCCAGGGATGAGCATGGGTAAGCCTGGCAAGAGCCATGGGTAGAATACACCAGGCAGTGAATAATGGCACGTGCAAAGGGCCTGAACAGCGGAGAGCTGGGCTTTTCTGAGTGGCTGTAGGGAAGCCAGGGTGACAGGAGCAGAGCAAGTAGGAGACTGCAAGGAGCGATGAGGTGGAAGAGGTAGACTCAGCCAGAGGGAACATGATTAACTCAAGGAATCAGTGATTTGGTATAAACAGCTGGTCTGTAGTGTGTGTGTGTGTGTGTGTGTGTGTGTGTGTGTGTGTGTGTGTGTGTGTGTGTGTGTTTTAAGTGGACCTCAGTTACTCTCACGGCTTAGTAACAACTCTTGAATTAGGACATACATTCAGCTTTGGTCCATGCATGCCCCTCTTTATTTTTGAATATGTTAATAATATGAAATAATACTATCCATGAACCCACCACAGGATCTCAAAGCTGCATCACTGCCAACAGCTTACTTCCAAGCCTACTGCACTGCAGCATTGGATTCTGTGGGAATGGCACCACTTGAGGGACTGTAACCCACTGGCTCTATTTACAACTACCTATGTGTTCCCCCACCCTGAGCAAACAGAATCCTAAAACTTTCTTGCCTTTTATTTTAGTTTTAAGACTTATAGGTATGTATGAATGATTGCACAGTTTTGCTTCTTAAAAAATTTTATAAACATGACATTACTATATGTTGTCTTCTCATACTTGCTTTTTCTTTCTCAGTGTTATGCTAAGACTCACCCATGCTGTTGAAGATAGCTATTGTTCCTTCATTTTCACAGTAGTCACATTTTCTACAATAGTCCATTATGTTAGTATACCACAATTTATTTTTTCTTCTCTGGTCATTAGGCATTTGGATTGTTTCCAATTTTTTGTTATTCTAGTCAGGGCTTGAGGAATATTCTTATACAAATCTCCTGAGACACAATATTAATAGTTTCTCCCAAATATATATGTAGGAGCAGACTTTCTGTGCCATGGGATATGTGAGCATTTGACTTTTGAGACCGTTGTATGTGACTTTTAAGCAAATCCAATGTGGTTATTTCATTTTCCACTCCGACCAGCAGTGTATGAGAGAATAACCATGTCATTCTTGGTGAATTTGGTATCTTATCCTTATGAAATAATCTCCATCTCTGGCGGTGCTTTTTGACTAAACTCTATTTTTCTGATATTAACATACTACGTTAGCTTTCTTTTGGTTAGTCTTCTCCTCCTATATCTTTTCCCATTCCTTTATTTTCAACTTTCTATGTGTTTATGCTTCAGGTGTGTCTTTTGAAAACTGTATATTGCTGGATTTTATTTATTAATGAAATCTGACAATCTCTTTTATTTTCTGTGGTAAATTTAGAGCATTAATAATTATTGTTGTTATTGATAAATTTGGACTTATTTCTGCCATATTACTTTTTGATTTCTCTTAGTCCTGCTTTCTCTCTAATTTCTGAATTTTCCTTTTCTGATTTTTAAAAATTGAATTTGTACGTGTGTGTCCATTTGCACTGTTTTCCCTTTGTTTCACTTTTTCCCCCTACTAGTAGTGAATTTAAACACTTTATACTTTAATGATTTCCCTTAAATTTTTACTACATACTTTTAGCTTACTAAAGTGCTACAGTAAAATAATCCTGACCCTGCTTCCCAAACAATAAAAGGACTCTGGAATACAGTGGCTCAGACTTCCCTCTTCCCTATTTAGATATTACTATTTAATATTTTATGTCTATATTTTTTAACCCCACAATATAAATACTTCATGTATTTGTAGACACTATATATAAATATATGTGTGTGCATGCGTTTGTATGTGCACGTCTGTGTGTATGTATGTATGACTGTGTACACACACCCAGAAATTCAGAAAGAGGGAGAGAGAGAGAATATTTGGATTTACCTACATTTTTGCCCTTTAATCTGTTCACCATTCCTTCTCATATTTCAGACCATTCTTCTGAGAGATGTTTCCTTCTTGAAATATGTCCTTTTTGTGATCCTTTAGAGTCAGTCTCTTGCTGTTAAACTCTCTCAGTTGCTTTCTTGTTTGTTTTCTCTGAAACTGCTTTAATCTCCTCCTTATTCTTGAACGGTAATTTTGCTGAATGTATAATATCAGTATGACATTTTTGCACTGTTTTAAGATATTGTTCCACTGTCTCCTGACTTCCATTGTAGTCTTGAGAAGTCTGGTGTTATCTTGTCGTTCCTTCAATCATCTTCTCTCTGGACAATTTTGAGATTTCATTTCCTTGATCTATGATGTTCCACAGATTCATTATAACATTTGCAGTTGTGGAAATCTTGGTACTTATCCTGCTTAGGGTATATTGGATCTGTGGAAGCATGTTTTTCATCAGTTCTGGAAAATTTGCAGCCATTATCTCTTGAAATACTGCCTTTTCTTCAGTCTCTCCATTTTTGTTTTTTAATTCTAGAATTCCAAGAAGACACACGTTAGGCCCTCTTTAAACTAGCCTCCATATCTTTTAATCCTTCTTTCATCATTTCCATCATCCGCACATCTTTTTGGCAGCATCCAGGATAAATTCTTCAGATATAGCTTCCAGTTCACTAATTCTCACTTTAAACAAGTCTAATAATTTATTGCCCATTCATTCGTTTTTTTTATTTCAACAGTTATATTTTTTGTTTCTAGAAGCATGTTTAAACAATTTTTCTTTTTATTCCTGACAATTTCCTTTTCTATGCTTATCTGTGTGATTGTAGCCTTCACTTTGCACATAGAACTAAATACCTCATAGGTAGCTCTTCTCCATTGCATCTGACAGTTCCAACCTCCACAGCGCTTGAGGGCCCATGTCTGTTTCTCTTGTTGATGCCCACACATTGTGGCTCACCTTCTGCTGAGTTTGGTTATCTGCACCTGGGAGGTGATGCTTGATTTTCTTCTCCTGCTGGTTCAGGTTTCTCTCAGAATCCCTGCTGCTCTAGTGGGCCCCATGAGTTAGGCCTTGGCTCCTTGGTTCCTGAACCCCTGAGACTCCAGTGATTCCTGTCCAGGATCCTGGTGTCTTGGCCAAGAAAGCCCCCACCTCACTGCTCTGAGAAAAGCTCTTGTTCATTTGCTTATTTATTTCTGTTCTGTGGTGTGTGGGGTGCGTGGGGAGAGTCTCTGGAGGTTACACCCACCTTTTGTGATACCAAGAAAGCCACAAAGATTGTTTCATATCTAGTGTGTAGTTGTGGAACAGAAAGGTCCTTCACCAATGTGAATGTATTTAATGGCACTAAAATGTACACTTAAAAATGGTTAAATGGTAAATTTTATCTTATGTATTTTGTTACAATAAAACAACAACAAAAACAACCCCAACATTTAAAAGAAAAGTTTCAGCTAGACAAACATATACTTTGGCTTTCATTAATATTTTATTTCATTTAGAAATACTATTGTCTTTTTTTTCTTCTTTTTTTAAATTTATTTTTTTATTGAGGTAACATTGGTTTATAACATTTTATAAATTTCAGGTGTACATCAGGAAATACTATTGTCTTATTACTTATCTGTAACATGACACAGATTATGGAGCTATATTTCCTGCTTTGTAATTTAATCAATAAGAACTATTCATAGAGTACTGGCAAGGGCTTCTAGAAAAAAATCATTTCAATTAAAGATATTTGAAGCAAGAAAAAATGCAATAAAAATGTTATTAAGTGTCTATACAAGAGACAGTGCTTCTCACTTTAAGAGAAAATAAATTCTAGACCTAGTGGGAAGCCACCTATAATATTTCAAGGAACTATTGGTTTAAAGATGAGAGTTAGTAGAAGCAGAAATTTAAAAAAAAAAAAAAGCAGCAAGTAACAGTGTAATGGAAGAAATAAACCCAGACTACCTAGATTCAAATCCCAGCTCCATGACTTACCAGCTATGTGGCCTGGGGAAGTGACAAACTTTCTGTGCCTCTGTTTTTAAATCTGTAAAATGGAGCTGAGTTGGACAGTGGTGACCTGTGATGTGTCTGAATAGTCCATTAAATGAACAGTGAGCCATAATAGAAGTAATAATCACCATTCAACCCTTAGTTCATAGTATAAACAAGAAGTTAAACCCAGAGAAAGTATCAAATCCTTGATCAAAAGACTCTTGCAGTTGTCGGGACCCAGGACAGGAAGGAAAAGAACTGAGTACTGAATCAGAGTGGAGACAAGTGTCTTCAAGGCTCCCTTCCCCCATAAGGAGGGCTTCACAGAGCGCCTTAGGAAGACCTCAGCAGAAGGCCCAAGATAAAGAGGTCACCAAATGAAAGCAATTGGGCTCACAATGTAAATACGTGTAAGAGCACGGCCAGGCAGGCAGCCCTGAATCCTTGCCTACAACCCCCTTCAGAGCCTGTAGTGCACAGGCTGTGCACCCCATCTGTTGTGGGGAGGGCAGCTTTCCCCCATGAGGCCTGCCAGGTAAAGCTTCTGTAATTCAGGTCGATCTTGAAAGATCACACATAGGTTTCTGGGCCAAGAGCCAGATTCCTCACTGGGAAAAGAGAAAAATAATCCATTCCTTCCTCTGTGTGAGAGGAATAAGAATATGGTGGCCAAATTCCCTCAACAGAGAGGTGGAGTCAATTGAAGCCCATGGTGTGGTGCACGGTTTGGCCAAGTTGAGGGTTCTTCTGGCCACAGATCCAAAAAGTTCCACCAGTCACCCCCACCTGCCCTGGTTTAGGTGGGCCTTCCTCGGAAGTGAGGGCTTCATCGGGGTCTGATCTGTTCCCTTTCAGGATAATGAAGCGGATGCTGTGACATTGGATGCAGGTTTGGTGTTTGAGGCAGGCCTGGCCCCTTATAACCTGAAGCCTGTAGTGGCAGAGTACCATAAGTCAGAAGACGGTGGTAAGTTCTCCCTGGGGATTCAGAAGGGAGTTTGTGGCCCTTGTTCTCTTTTGGTAGACACTGAGTCTTGTCTTGTTCAGGCAGGTAATGGAGATTAGATACTGAGGAGCATTCCCCATTAGGGAGAGAGTGCGGAACGAGGGGCCCTGTTATTCCCCACAGGTGCAACTCAAGGTCTCTGGGTATTGGGGCTAGTTGAGGACTGGTGCTCCTGACACTGACCTCCTAAGCCAGGAAATGTGCTCCCTGGAGAAACAGTGCAGATGGTGTGCACCCTGACCTGAACCATTGGGCTTTAGAGCTGTACAGAGGAGTCCTCCAAAAGGTAGATGCCACACACAGGGGGAGAGACCACACGGAAGCACACATTCAGAGCCCCGACAGCCCTGTGTCTCTTCTGAGAGCAACTTGACTGTCCCTGGGCCTGTGTCAGGGCACAGGAAATACTGAGAGAGAGTCAGGAATGTGGCCTCTATGCCACAACCCTAGTTTCCTGGTGGGCTTGGGTTGGGAGATGGAGGCAGACACTCTGCAAGGCCAGAATAGGCAAGAACATTTGGGGCACATGTGCATGTGGCTTTCTTGCCCCTGAGTTTGCCTGGAGGCTTATTGTAAATGTTACTCTCTGGTCCTTTCTTTCCCCTGCAAGCCTAGGAAGGTTTTTCAGGTCCTCCCTCTTTACGACCCAACCCAACATAAGTGTGGCCTGTGAGTTACCCTTCCCTACTCAGGCGCCCAGCAGTGATGAGCAATGTTTCCCTGAAGCCCAGATTGAGGGTCTTTCTGCAGATAAACAAACCCGCTATTATGCTGTGGCTGTGGTGAAGAAGACGAGTAACTTCCAGCTGAACCAGCTCCAAGGCAAGAAGTCCTGCCACACGGGCCTTGGCAGGTCTGCTGGGTGGAACATCCCCATTGGCTTACTTTATTGGCAGTTGCCTGAGCCACGTGACTCTGTTCCGAAAGGTAAGCAGGCAGGAGGGTGAGTGCCCTCAGGCAGGGATCTCTTCTTCAGATGCCCTCACAGGCCTCACTGGGGTCACTCAGACACAATCAGGGGGTCATGTATGATGACTTTGGGGGTGGAGTGGGGAGGTAAACCAGCTTTAAACGGGTAGCTCTGCTGCACCAGCAGCCTTGGGGAGTGTCAACTGAATCTTTTCATCTCTGAGCTTCCAACACCCCACCAGAGGCTGTCCTGAGCAGTGCAGGGAAGGGCACGAGGCTCAACAGAGGGCTTCAGTCAGGGCTAAGGCTGCTGGGCCCTACTGTCCACTTCCCTGGGGTGCTTTCCTGTCTGTGATCAAGTGTGTCTCATTCTCTTGGAGGCTTCTCTAGTGTACATCTGCTGGCCATGAGCTTGGCCTGCACCTCTCCATGTGGGTCTCCCATCTCCTGAGCATGGCTCTCAGAGACCTCTCTTTGAGCTGTTCCAGTCTGACAGGCAGGGAAGGGGGCTGACAGCAACCTGAGACAGGTCTTGGTTGGTGGCAGGCACAGGCCTTGTTCTCACGGAGGAAGGTGGGAAGACAAGGGTTAACTCTCCCTTTTCGGAAACCCTTGATCTTGAAGAGTGGACACTCAGAGGGGCAATCTGGGACTGGGTGTGCTGGTTTTGTTTTGGTCACTCTCTGTTCCCGAATGAACCTGAGCTGGAGCTGTAATTTCCTCTGGCCAGTCTGCTCATACCCTGTGCTCCATGTCTCTGTGTTGAGCAGCGGTGGCCAATTTCTTCGCGGGCAGCTGCGTCCCCTGTGCGGATCGGACAGCCTTCCCCAACCTGTGTCAACTGTGTGCGGGTAAAGGGACGGACAAATGTGCCTGCTCCAACCACGAACCATACTTTGGATACTCGGGCGCGTTCAAGTAAGTGAGACCAACTGCTGCCCCATGGTGGCCAAATATCCAATGTCCTCAGGTTGGGAGACCCTCCCTGGCCCACAGCAGAGCCCAGCCTGCAACAAGGGCATCCAGGAAGCCTAATCCCCTCACAGTGACTCAGTGATATGGGTGGGATTTCCCAGGACAGGCCAGCGCATGCTCCCTTCATGTGACATTGACAAGGAAGCCCCTCCCTGGGAACACTTTCTGTCTCCCCACAGCCCTCCAACCTGGCCAGTGTGTCCTCTCAGTGGAGTAGGCAGAGCCTGAGGGGACAGGAATGTCCCTAGTGTCTGGGCCATTCTTTAGTGACTGACCCTCAGCTTTCTATTGCAGCAGTGTCATAACCATGCACTGGCCTCTCTCTTACCTCCCCTCACTGCCCCTTGCAGACAGCTCATGCAGCTGATTTCTTGCTCCCTCTTTTCCCTTTGTTATATCCTCAAGTTTCACAGCCAGCCAAGGGCACCTTTCCTCCCTCAGGAGACACTATTCCTTTATTCTCCGTTTCAGAAGTTTGAAAACTCTTTTCTGTATTAAAATGTCTTCAGTGCTTTTTTGCTGCTTTGAGGCACATGGTGAGGGACCTCCAGCTCCTGTGGGCTCATCCCCCTCATCTTGGTGGTGCCCTGGATATCAGCACCCCACGGTGCTTCCTCAGCTGTGGGTCCGAAGGCTGGACGGGGTGTGTGATCAGACCCTCAAGCCTGAGGAGAAGGGCCAGCCCTGCAAGAACCCTCCTAATGTGTTTCTTTCCCACAGGTGTCTGATGGAAGATGCTGGGGAGGTGGCCTTTGTCAAGCACTCGACGGTATTTGGTGAGTGATGGAAGAATTTGCAGATCCCCTCCAAGCAATGGGCCTTCTTTTTTTCCTGCCCCCCTTTTCATGCTCAGTAGTCAGACATGAGCATAGTGTGTTCCTCCTTTATCATTGCTTGGGTTTTTACCTGTGCAGAGCTGTGAGCCTGTGGGGTCCCCATCTGGACTCCTGGGCCTCTTTCCATCATTCAACCTCCTGGACACAGGGACCCTTCCTCCTGGTCAGTGTTGCCACAGCAGAGGATTGGGGGCAAGTCTGGCCAACCCTGGCCTGAAGTCTGCCTGCTGAGATGAGACCTACTGTGGGGTGTGGGGCAGTCACCCCTGCACTGGGCATCAGAAGTTTCTCTGCCTGTAACTGGCTCTGTGATCTTGAGCAAGTCAGTTTCCTTATGTTCTCAATGATTGCTCCAGGCCTCTCAGCTCACACATTTTATGATACAATGGGATTGCAAGGGAAGGGGAGGGGGCACCACACCTCATGGTTCTGCCTGCAGTCAGCTCATGTGGGCTTTCCTCCCCCAGAGAACCTGCCACAAAAGGCTGACAGGGACCAGTATCAGCTGCTCTGCAGGGACAACACCCGGAAGTCGGTGGATGAATACAAGGACTGCTACCTGGCCGGCATCCCTTCCCATGCCGTTGTGGCCCGAAGCGTGGATGGCAAGGAGGACTTGATCTGGGAGCTTCTCAACCAGGCCCAGGTACCAAGTCCACTGTCCTCCTTCCTGCTTGGATTTGGGACATTTTCCTTTATTCTCTTCTTGCTACTGTAGAAGTCCTTCTGTTTTCAGGAGACAGTGGGAACCAAGCCACACATCATCCTCTTGTCTAAAAGTGCCCAGCAGGGATTCCTTCAGAGTCGCAACGATCCTAGTCCTGCATTATCATCTGCCAGACCCTTACATTCTGGACTAGTGACATGAAGATGCTCCTTATTGTTCTATTCCATTTCTTTCCATATAAACCAGGCTTTCTAGGCCAAGGGCAAACACCCCCTCCCCCATGAGGCCTTCCATGACCTCCCCAGAAGGAAATGATGTCTCTCCTGATGTCCCTCAGCCTGACTGCTAGGGAGCTGCACGCATAGCCGGCTTTACTTCCCTAGAGCAGCGGGATGCCAGAACTGAGCCAACTTTCTCTTGTCCAGCCCTCTCATCTGTTCATCAAGAGTTTAAGTGGTAATCACTCAGTGTCAACCTCTGAAGGAGATGCATTTCTTGCTCTCAGTGAGCTGTCAACCCAGCCAGGGAGACAGGCACAGAAACACGTTCAGGGAAATAGAGTGCGGTGTGGCTCCAAGAGGGCTGTGAGTGGAGAAGGTGCTGGCTGGAAAGAGCAGGCCTGACTGCCCTCTCTCCTAGCATTTGAAAATTCCATGGTGTTAATTTAGTTTTTGGGGGATATTGTTTTTCTTCATTCCATTTTGCAGACTCCTTTGTCGCTGTAGCCATTCACTATTGTGTTTTACTATAAACAGGAACATTTCGGCAAAGAAACATCTGGAGACTTCCAGCTTTTCAGTTCCCCTCATGGGAAGGACCTGCTGTTTAAGGACTCTGCTCACGGGTTTTTAAAGATTCCCCCTAAGATGGACACCTGGCTGTACCTGGGATATGAGTATGTCACTGCTATTCGGAATCTAAGGGAAGAGATACGTAAGTACTCAAGAAGGATCATGTGACCCTAGGAACTTGGAAACCTGGTGAGGGTGGGGACCAGCAATAGACTCTTTCCAGGTACTGAACACCTGCCCTGACGTTCCTTTATCTGCCCTGCCTCTGCCACCCAGTATTAGAGGGATGATAAATGGCGTTAGTCATCATGAGATGGGCCTGGACATCACCAAAGGGCATCAAAGGAAATTCATGCTTAAAATGACTTGGATTGTGGGCCGGCCCCGTGGCTTAGCGGTTAAGTGCGTGCGCTCTGATGCTGGCGGCCCGGGTTCGGATCCCGGGCGTGCACAGACCCAGCGCTTCTCCCGCCATGCTGAGGCCAAGTCCCACATACAGCAACTAGAAGGATGTGCAACTATGACATACAACTATCTACTGGGGCTTTGGGGGAAAAAAATAAATAAATAAAAATTAAAAAAAAAAAAAATGACTTGGATTGATATCAGCATTATTTCTCTTGCATAAATCAGGGCTGCCCTGCCCACTTTGTGAAGCCAATTAGCCTGGCACAAAGTAAGTCAAATAGAATGAAACTACTACAAACTTGTACATCTGCAGCCAGTACTGTGGGCAACATGTGCCATAGTGAAGCTAGAGCTCTACACAGGTCAGTCCTGCTCATGAATTTCATTGGGGGTGTATCTGATCATTCATTCATTCAGCAGACATTTATTGACCATCTAGCTATAAACTGTGCTAGGTGCTGGGCATACACACATATATTAGATTCTGCTGTCATGGAACTTTCTCACCAGTGGAGAAGATAAGTGTCCAATGAATAGTCACTCGATTGAAAGATCAATTAAAAATGAGAGATGTACTCAGAAGAAGGAAAAAAAAACAGAACAAAATATCATGGTCCTAGGAAACCATGTAAACAAAGGAAAACAGGTCCTGGAGTTGAGGGAAGGCTTCCCTGGGGAAGTGACTCTCGAGCTGAGTCTGTAAGTTGAGCAGTGTCCATTTATTCAGCAGACATTATTGCGCTGACCATGAGCCAGGCACTGCCCTGAATAATGAGGGTGCCATGGAGAACAAGACAGGTGTGGCCCTTGCACTGGCCAGGCTTATGTTCTCCTGCAGGGAACAGACAATAAACAATGAACAAATAAAGAACAACAGCTCAGGTGCTTAAGTGCTATTTCAAAAAGAAGAGGAAAAAACTAACCTGAAGTGATGGAGTGCCCAGGGGTTGGGAAGGAGGGTTGGCTTCTCAGAAGAAATAATTTTAAGCTAAATCTAAATGATAAAAAGTCAAGCAAGAGATTGTTATTATCTTTGCTTTCTAAGAGATTAATTCCTTGAATGAGACCTGTGGGTGTGTTGCTGACAAATTCCAGCATTTGCCTGAAGACAGTAACATTCATAACCGGCAGGCAACTTCCAGGACCTCTTCTTATCTCTGGTTCTTTTTCTTATGCCCTAGGCCCAGCCATCCCAAAGGATGAATGCAAGAAGGTGAAGTGGTGTGCAATAGGCCACCATGAGAGGGGCAAGTGCGATGAGTGGAGTGTAAACAGTGAGGGGAACATAGAGTGTGAATCAGCAGAGAACACCGAAGACTGCATTGCGAAGATCGTGGTACGTCACTTCTGCCTCCGTAGGGCAGCGTCCCTGCCACTGCCGCCTGCCTGTCCTGAGGGCTGAATGAGCGTTCCTGGGAATGATGCGAAAACCAGGGTTCCCAGGCGGCTTGCCCTCACTGTGGGAGCCCAGCCCCATAAGAGTTTCAGTACTTTTGAGTGGGTGGATCCGAAAGGGCTCCTCAGGGCTCCGTTTCCTCCTCATGTTACCACATCGTGGAGGGCAATCTGAGCAGTGTCTGCTTAGGGGAGGCGGGACTGCGGGGTGGGCGTGCCCGAGACCCACAGTGTGCCGTGAGGAGTGTGATAGGGCCCTGTGGGTTGTGCGAGCAGGAGGAAGTTTAGCTTTGTTGATCACAAGAGCATTCCATGTTTGCTTTTTGAATTTTGAAAATCCTGAACGACGTAAAGAAGAAAATAAGATGTACTTGTAATCTTCTAACGCAGAGAAAATCCTGTTAATTGGGATCATAGCATATGCACAATTTACTACCCTTTTTTCACCTGATATCTAGTGAGCTTTTCCCATGTCACAAATCATTTTTAGAAAACATGATCTTTTAATGTTGTAACCCATTTCATAGTTGTGGATGTGATGCAATTTATTTAGCCTTTTATCGATATTATCCATAACATCATTTAGTCTGTTTCTATCTTTTTGCTATTATGAATCATACTTGCATGTTTTTGCCCACTTCTACATTTATAGTGTCCCACATATCTGATTATTCCTTTAGGGTGTAATCCTGGAAAATTGCCAGGCCCAATGGAAAACTTGGCAATCTTTTTGAATTTAAGCATTTCTGTAATCCAGGGCTTATTAAATCTGAGAATAAGGTCATTTGAGTGTATTTTACTCATTCACTAAACACCTCATCTGCACCAAGCACTGAATTAGCACTCAGCCAGTGTGGCCCAGACTCGGGGCTGGAGCCCCCATCAGGAGGTGCTCTATTCCAGACAAAGCCTTGAGTCCCTGACTCCACTCATCTGTCTTACAAATGAGAATTCTTGGTGTCAGAAAGGTGTTGTGGGAGTGTCTCTGGGTCAGTGTGTCCTATGAGAGGACATGAGGACTGAATGTGGGTCTTTATTCCTGACTAAACTAAGCAGGGCACCCAGAGTTGATCATCAGTTCATCATGGTTTGGGTGAAAATGAGAGTACATTTTGTTTTCTATGCCTGACTGATCCTTCAGAGGTCCACAACTAGCATCTGCTATCTCCTGGGGCCTTCATCACCTGTGCTGGGAAGGCTGCTTCAAAGAAACTGCTGGAAGGGCAGGTGGGACAGGAGATGGCTCTCTTCATCTGCTTGATGTGCTGTGTCTTTGCAGAAAGGAGAAGCTGATGCCATGAGCTTGGATGGAGGCTTCATCTACATAGCGGGCAAGTGTGGTCTGGTGCCTGTCCTGGCAGAGAACTATGGTAGGTGGAGGGGGCACCTCTCAGTATTTTGTTTCCTCTGGGCCATGGAGAGAGGAGATGGGAAAAGCACAGCCTGATTCATATCACATGGGCCATAAAACCCTAGCTTACTGAGTACCTCCTACTTCCTAGGCTCTGAGCTCCCCCATCCCTAATGCACACAGTTATCTTGAAGGTTTGGATCTTCTATCACACCTTCCACCAGGAGAATTGGAGGCTTTGCACTGGGAAGTCCCAGCTAAAAGTGACTGCGCTGCATAGGACAGCTGGGATTCCTGGCAGGTCTTCTTGTTTCCAAAACTCACACTTCTCCTATTGCCATGGTGCAAGGATTCAAGTATAGTTGGCAGGGATCACTGTGGCCACAGGACAGACAGGGCAGGACACCCGACATTCCCAATTTTTCGCTAAATTCCACAGGCCAGTGAGCTAAAGTGAACTTGCATAATCCAGAGAGCCTGGACTTTTTGGGAATTGGTGATATGTAGATAGTTTTCCTGGCTCTTTTTATTCTGAGCTACACAACATAGGAAAGGCATGATTTCCAATCTATAAATGTGTGTTTAATGACTTCTTCATTTTCTCTTCTCTAGAAACTGATCATGGCTCCAAATGTGAGGAGACACCGGAGCCAGGTGAGTTGGGATTGGAAACCTCATGAGTTAAAAGGTAAGTTACCGGGGCCGGCCCGGTGGTGCAAGCGGTTAAGTGCGCGCGCTCCGCTGTGGTGGCCCAGGGTTCGCCGGTTTGGATCCCGGGTGCGCACTGACGCACTGCTTGGCAAGCCATGCTGTGGCGGCGTCCCATATAAAGTGGAGGAAGATGGGCATGGATGTTAGCCCAAGGCCAGTCTTCCTCCGCAAAAAAAGAGGAGGATTGGCAGATGTTAGCACAGGGCTGATCTCCTCACAAAAAAAAAAAAAAAAGGTAAGTTACCAGGGCTGGCCCAGTGGCATAGTGGTTAGGTTTGTGGGCTCTGCTTTGGTGGCCTGGGGTTCGTGGGTTCGGATCCCACTCATCGGGCCATGCTGTGGTGGCATCCCATATACGTAATAGAGGAAGATTGGCATGGATGTTGGCTCAGGGACAATCTTCTTCAAGCAAAAAGAGGAAGATTGGCAACAGATGTTAGCTCAGGGCCAAGCTTCCTCACCAAAAAAAGAAAAAAAATTAGTAAGTTCCCATTTTGTGGGGGAAAGGGTAAGGTAAGTTTAAAATTCAAATCACTAGTAGATAGGGCAATAGAAGACACCAATTTTTGAATGCAAAAGAATCATGGAAGGATAGTAATGGATAATGATGGTTATTCCATTTTACTTGCCATGACTTGCACACATGATTTCTCATTTAATCCTATAAGGTAGATATTGTCATCCTCTAAGCATGTATAAGAGGACCAACAGCTCAGAGAGCTTACAAGTTTCCTAGGCTCCTAAATCCAGTAAGCAAATCCACACTCTCCCTACTACTCTCGACTACCTCGCATTACATGAGGCTTGCACAGTTTTAGATGAGGGTTAGTCCAGTTAAGGAGCCTTGTGTCTATGTGCCTGGCAGGGCTGACGAGAAAGACTCCCACAAGCAGATGTGAGATTCATGCACCTAGATTTCTAGGAGCATGAAATTACCCAGCCAGGGCTGAGCTCAGGAACCCAGGCCAACCCGGCTCTCACCCAGGGCTCTGGCTAGGGGTGGATCTGGAAAGATGGGGCAGCAGCAAGACAGGACATCTTACCAAGGTGAGCACTGGGCTCCAGAGCCCCTGTGTTCAGACCTTGCAGCCATTAGTGTGCAAGTCTGTCCTTGTCACTTTTCCCAGTTACAACCTCCCAGCCTCTCCCCATCACCCTAGGAGCCAAGCTCTTTAGCTGAAAATAGACCCATTCTTATTCCATGTACAATAAGACATTATCTATTTTCTGTTGGAAACCATTTCTTGAATTAATAACATGGAAAACTGAAATCATGGGTTGATGTTCTATTCCCAGTTTTAAAGACTAGCATGTATTCGCTGCTAAAGATGGCAGCTGACTTGATGTGGGCAGTTTCCATTTCACATATTTATTTTGATGCAAACCTGTATTCTCCTTATCACAAAGTATCTGGCCAAAATATTCCCTGTGGTTTATTTGTCATTTCCTACTCTTTCCTAATAATTGTTAATGTATAAAATGTTGGAGTTACATGTACTCTTCAGTATCCATTCCTCTGATATTCCACAGTGGAGGGTGAGTTGCTGGTTTATAAGTTTAGTGGCTTTATGCATTTGGGGAAGGGTTACACACTGGCCATTTCTCTGATGATAAATGTATTCTTACTATTTTGTTTTTTAAGTTTAGATTAATCTCCACCTGACAGAGTGACTTATACTTTGCCTCAGTCAGTTATTGGGAAGACCCTTTCAAAGAGAGAAGGAATGATTTAGGATAATTTTGCCTCCATAGGGAGAGGGCAGGCTTTGATTGTAGACAGACATCTGGAAGGCCCAAAGGTGTTAATCCTTCCTTTTTTGGCATCTTTCTTTTAGGGTATCTTGCTGTGGCCGTGGTTAAGTCATCATCGGGTGCTGACCTCACCTGGAACTCTCTGGAAGGCAAGAAGTCCTGCCACACCGCAGTAGATAGAACTGCCGGCTGGAACATCCCCATGGGCCTGCTCTACAACAAGATCAAGCACTGTGAATTCGGTGAGTGAGTCCCGGCAGGACGCTGTGGTCAGTGCCAGGCTGGAAAGAGGTATACTGGGAAGAGAGTGGTATGGTAAAAAAAGGCTGTGGCCCCGGTTCTATAGCAGTAAAATTTGGTTAAAGTGAACCTCAAGGAAATATCTAAAAGGGATGGTAGGACTGGGGAGGTGCATTGGAATGGTTCTTTTTGATTGCACATAATGGATTAAGTGAATATACGTTTACTTTTCTCTCTCATGAAAAAGACCAGAGGAGAGCACTCCATGGCTGGTATTGTCACTAGAAACCCAGGCTCCTTCACTCTTTCTGCTCCTCCATTCTGAGCATGAGGCCTCCATCTTCAAGGTCACCCATGGTTGCCATCACATCCATGATCCAGACAGCCTCAAGGAGCAAGGAGTAAGGGTAACTTGAAGTATATGACACCTGCTATCACCTTATTAAAGGAACCATGCAGGAAATTTACCCAAATTACTTCAAGTAACTTCTCATTGCTCAGAACTTAGGTACATAGTCAAACATTGCTGTAAAGAGTCTGGGAAGTGTTGTCTTTTATTTGGGCATGTTTCTGCCCAAGTAAAACAGATCTTTGTTCAAAAAATTAAAAGTAGAACTACCATATGATCCAGCAATTCCACTTCTGGGTATTTATCCAAAGAAAACAAAAACACTAACTTGAAAAGATATAGGCACCTCCATGTTCATTGCAGCATTATTTACAATAGCCAAGATATGGAAACAATCTAAGTGTCCATTGATGGATGAATGATAAAGAAAATGTGGTGTATGTACAATGGAATATTATTCAGCTATAAAAAAGAAGGAAATATTGTCATTTGTGACAACGTGGATGGACCTTGGAGGCATTACACTAAGTGAAATAAGTCATAAAGAGAAAAGCAAATACCATATGATCTCACTTATATGTGGAATCTTAAAAAAAAAGGCCAAGCTCATAGATACAAAGAACAGACTGATGGTTGCCAGAGGTAGAGGGTGGAAGGTGGGTGAAATGGGTGAAAGAGGTCAAAAGGTACAAACTTCCAGTTGTAAAATAAATAAGTCCTGGGGATGTAATGTACAGCATGGTGACTACAGTTAATAATAGAGTATTGCATATTTGACAGTTGCTAAGAGAGTAGATCTTAAAAGTTCTCATTATGAGAAAAAAAATTGTAACTATGTATGGTGACGGATGTTGACTAGACTTATTGTGATGATCATTTTGCCATATATTCTCAATATCAATTCATTATGTTGTACATTTGAAACTAATACAATGTTATATGTCAATTATATCTCAATAAAAAAATTAATGGAGAAGAAATTTAAACAAAACAAAACTAGATCTTTGTTACTAAAGAACAAGGGAAAATGGCTATGGGGTGGACAGCTACAATCCCTGTCACAGGGCTTTCTAGGCAATATAAGTGTGTAGGATCCTCAGGTCTCTTTAAGATCTAGGCAGTCTCACCAAGTGACTGCCCAGCGCCCAGGCCCATTTGAAGGGGTGGAAATCAGTTTATTCTCTACGTCCTCTGAATATCTTCATCTATAAGCTTAGTTCTACCCCCTAAAAATCTATGTGTAAGTTCACCACGGACAAATGTTTTGTAATGGTTCTTATTTACTCTTCCTGAGTACTTCCTCCCTGCCACCTCCAAATATGTGCAATGCTTTAAAAAGAGAGGCCTCTGAAGACACTTACGAACCAGACAAATCCTGTGGGAAGGGGACTTGGAGACGAGGTCATGTTTCTGCACTGGGGTGTTCTCTGACACCAATTTGACAGGAAGCAAAGTGTGGGTGGGGAGACATTCAGAAGTTCTGTCTCCTCAGCAGCAAGGGCACCACCTCTGCTCTCCCAAGCCTCCTGGCAGTCTCATAGCCATGGCAGACCAGCTGAGCTGTGGGTACAAGTCCTCAGCCCTTTCTTGCACTTGGAGTTCTAAGTTCTGTTATAGGCTCTTCTAATAGATGGCAGAGGAAGGAAACATCTGAAAACAGATGGCACAAGTTCAGGGAGTGAGACCTTCCATTTTATCCCTTTTATATCAACTTTCGTGTCATTTCCATCTCTTCTCTCTTTAGATAAAGTGATGACACTATCAGGGTGCCCATGGAATCCTCTCCACCTGAATTGTAATGGTCACTAACTTCTATTCTCAGCCTCAATTAAGTTTCCTTTTAAAGCCTACAGCCTGGCAGGTCCTGAGTTGGTGGCTGGTCACAGAATGAATGAGTTATGTTCCATTGATCCTGGGCCATACACACCTGTTATGTGTTAGATGAAGGCCACTCATATTGACTCAGTTAGGAAGAGCTGACTTCCTCTTGTCCTTCCACACAGATAAATTTTTCAGTGAAGGCTGTGCCCCTGGATATAGGCGAAATTCCAGCCTCTGCTCTCTGTGTATTGGCTCGGCAACTGCTCCAGGAAGGGAGTGTGAACCCAACAACCATGAGAGATACTATGGTTACACAGGGGCTTTCAGGTGAGTCTTATAACCCTGATACAAATACAATAACCCCAGCCCTGACAAGATTCCTTTTTAGGAACTAAGTTGAAATTCTTATGTTCCTAGCCTGTTAGTCCTGCATGTGTTACGGTACCACATTTAGCAAACATATGTAGAGCCCTGTGTAAAGGGGCATCCAGGCCCCTCCAGGATACTGTCTCCAGACCTGGCTGTCATAGACAGCAAAGACTGGCAGTATGGTGCAGATTAGAAGTTCTTAACAGAGGGTGATTTGCCCTCCGGGGGACATTTGGGAGTATCTGGAGATGTTTTTGATTATCCAGTGGGGTTGAGGAGGGGAAGGTGCTACTAGCATCTAATTGGTGGAGGCTGCTAAACATCCTGCATGCATAGGACAGCACCCTATAACAAAGAATTGTCTGGCTCAAAATGTCACCAGTGCCAATGCAGGGAACCCCACCATAGTTGAGTACAGGAGTCAGGAGTCTGGCTCATGCTCTTCCAGGCACTTTTGGGGAACCTAAAACTATACTCCCCTGGAAATATACAAAAATAAAGTACATGATTTCTACATTCCAAACTACAACTCTATTTCATGGGGTGTTTATCATTTTTATAGAGACACCTGTGCACCTTATGACTTTATTGCTTTTTAACTATCCTTTCTGATTCAAACCTGTTACTTAGTAGCTCATGAATCTATCAACTGCACAATGATGGTGGCATTGTAATTGAACTTCTCAGTAGGGAAGGAAAAAACAAAGGTTATCCCAATTCCCCAGTTAGAACCACCTTCTGAGTTAGAGTAAGTACAATTTACAGTTCACAAGTTTCCAATTTTACAAAGTAGAATGTGAGTAAGGAATCACCTTGCTGGAAAAAACTGCCCTCTAATATCAACACTGTTGATGCTGGGAGAATGATGTAGCTCTGTTGGAGAAACTGTGCCAAATTTAGGATTTATTGTGTGGAACTGAGATTGTATAACTACAAAGCAAATCAGAGGTTTTGTTTTCCTTTTCTTTATTACTTACATTAGTAATATGTAAGATTAATGATAACAGTAGATTAGTGATAGAATGGGAGTCACAATTGCTGATATCAGATGGCCAGCCCTGGATCTATAAGGTGGCCCTCCTGAATGACAGATGTGTGTCTCTGACCTCCTCTCTTCTCTCTCTCTGCCCGGTACTCTGCAGGTGTTTGGTTGAGAAGGGAGATGTGGCCTTTGTGAAATACCAGACTGTCCAGCAGAACACTGACGGTACGTGCACATGCTCCTCTGTCCCTGTAAATCGGGGTTGCTGGGTTCACTTGTGTTCAGGATGACTTTGTGGAAGTGTTATGGACTCTGTCAGGCTCCAGAGCTCTGATTCTCAACCTTTTTGTTCAGTGAAGAGAGAAGTCTTCACCTGCGTAGGCAGAACAGTAAGGACCATGAGGTTCCAGTGGCCCTAATTCTCTCCCAGGAACCCTCCCACAGGTGCAGGCATTGTGCTGCCTGTCCCTTAAATACTTCATTGCACATTTCCTAAGAACAAGGCCAGTCTCTCATATACCTACATTACAGTTACTGAGATCAGGAAATTTATATTAACGTGGATTTAATGCTTATGTCCACAGTCCATATTCAAATGTCAATCATTCCAAAAGGTCCTTTATAACTATTTCCTGTATTTCTTAGCACTATCCACTGAGAAGACCTAGAGACAGTAGCACACTAGTAGGAATGAGCACCGAGATCTTGGCTTCTAGAACCATTCTCGAATAGAAGGAACCAGGGGCCCTTGGAAAAATAGCTAATTCTAGGGCTGGAGCAGGAAAAATATAAGGTGAGCCTGGAACATCATGCTGAAGTGCTCAGAGTGACGGGACATGTCAAAGCACACGGGAGCCATTTTGAACCACCTCCCACTGGCCAAATCTGAGACATTTTGAATATTAAAAGAAATAATAATAGTAATAAGAGATAATAACCCATTGAATAAAATAAGAATACAGGAGTCCCTCCTGATTAAACAAATGAAGATAAAAGGAGAGATCTTTCTTATTGTAGAACGCTAATAAATGTAGAAATAATTATAAAGTTAAAAAACTATCATTTGGCAACCAAGATAGTAATAATTGATTAAAGCACAAATCATCAATGGGTACTAAAACTAGTGGATGAATAGTGGATGGCTGTGACATTAAAAAACAAAACAAAAATTTTAAAAAACGTTGGTAAGACTGAGCATTCCACCTGCCCCCTCTGTATCACTAACTGCTTATAGGACCTGCAACAGTCCAGGCAGTTATGATTTCCCTTTCTTCCCTCATTGACCCTTCACCCAACCTCAGATCTTTCCAGCAACTCATCTAGAATGAACTAGCTCAGCACCAGCTCCTCCAAGAAGCCTTCCCAGATGGCACACCTGCTTCCCACGACAGAATCCTCTGTCCATATTGCTATTATTATTGAATTCATCACATTCTATAATAAACTGTGGCCACAGAAACTCTTTGAGCTCTTTTTTCCACCTCTTCTAGTCCAACACTAACTATGGTATGTGGCACACAAAAGGTGCTAAGTACTTACTTGAAGGATTATTGGTTTGGCTAATTTTTTTTTCTTCCCTCCTATTGTTTTTGCTTTTTCCTATAAGGATGGTCCTTTTTCCTGCTACCTGAGTGTCACTCTAAGACTGGTTCTCTGTCACCTCTTGATTTCTCTTGTACTCTTCTGAGTAGGGCTCTTCTCTCTAGGCCTCAACTTTCCACTCTTTGCAATGTCTCCAAAAGTCTTACCTCCTTGAGGGGAATTTAGAGAAGAGGCCTAACCTCCCATCTAAATAACATCCCAGGATCTCTATTTGCCACACGGTCATTTTTATGTACAAAGTACACTGGCCTTGCAAACTCAACCTATTTAAATCCAAACTCCTCAGATTTCTCTCAAAATCCAGTCCTCTTCGCACAGCCTCTGTCCCTACTGAGGACTTTTTTACATGCCCTGCCAGTCAAGCCTAGATTAGTCTCTCAGTCGATATGTTTTTGTTTCCTCAAAATATGCCTTCATTAAATTCTACGGTATGTTGTGATAAAGAAGAATCAGGATATCAAAGCATGTAGACTGTATGATCTAATTACTTGGATATGTGTCTGCATATCGTATGTCTGTAGAAAAAAGACTAGAAGAAATGCACCAATGTTGAAAGTGGATGCTGTGGGATTATAAGTGTTGCAAAATTTTCTTCCTTAAACTATGTAGCATTTTACAAATTAGCCACAGTAAACAACCATTACTTTTATTGCAAAGAAAAATTTTTATCATGCGCTTCTAGATGCCCACTGCTACCCTTCTAACCCAGACTGAATCACCTCCCATCTCATTTGTCTTCATTGTCCTATTTTAGGCCCTGGCTCACACATTAACATTGATTTCCATTCATAAGTCCTCACAGACCCACTTTTTCTCCCCCCTAAGCTCTGCACTCCATCCCACACTAAAGAGTAGTATGACCTCACCTGTTTAGCCCCACTGCCGGAGACTCTGTTTCAGTGGGGCTGTTCTCCTCACCCCCATTAGAAACACCAGGCACGCACCTGTTCCTGAGTCTTGCCAATGCCCTCCATCTGCCCGCAGAGAGGCATTCCTTTCTCCCCCTCTCAATCCTGTACATGTTATAAGACACACCTAAAACCTTGCCTCTGCCTGCCAGCCTTCCCTAATTAATGTACTCTCACTGTGCTGGTTCTGAGCTCAAACAGCATTTAGAGTGTGTTCCACAAAATATAAAATATTATTATCTATGCCCTGAATTTTTGCATTTGGTATGTGTGCTATTTCCCCCCTCCAATAAGATTGTGTCTTGCAGAGGCCTGAGAACATAGTATTGAATAAATGCTTAAATTACTAAGTAGAACAGGATGGGTTTGGAGAAAATAATGGTGGATTTCATTTGGAAGGTGTTGAGTTGGAGGGACTGGTAAGAAAGGAAAGGAGAAATGTTAGCAGGTGAATGAAAGTGCGTGCAGTGACTAGTGGGAGAGAGACAGGCAATTTCGAGTTTTCTGCTAGAACTAAAAAGTGTACATTTGGGGAGTGTAGTTACTTTATATACGAATAATACAGAAATCTTGTGATAGTTATTTCATGTATTAGTTGTTCAATTAAGTGATGAAAATTAAGAAAAAGATTGCAATCCTGCATTTTAGGAGAGAAGTAAAAACTGGGAAAATACTTGAGAATTGCCTCAGGATGAAGGAGCCAAAATCCTGAGAATGGGTGAGATTTTCTTTTTCAGAGAGAATACAGAGAAGATGAAGCAAGGGGCTGAGACAGGATATGGACCTGTGCACACAGAGGCATGTGCACGTTTTCATGTAGAACTAGTGCGAGTGAGTCAGATTTAAAACCCTGGTGCAATTTCCAAAAGGGCTTCTAGGGGAAAGTTCTTTTGCTTGGTGGTGCCAGATGGTATAGCACAGAGAGTGTCAACCAGCTTAGAGGGTCATGTTCTTCCTACACTGGAGCAAGAAGTCCAGATGCCTTAGAATCTAGTAGAAAGGAAGATCTTTTTGAACATCATCCACAGAATATAGTTCACTCTCCCCTGGCTGGGTGGGGCAGTTTGGAAGGGGCAGTCATTAGGAACTCCTGGTAAGTATCTCTTCTCCACATAACTATAACCCCAGCATGTGAACTTCCGTTGGCCACTGAGTCCAGGCCCTCCACCCACCAGTGGGTAAGTTACATTCCCCTAGTGAGGGCGCCTTGACCAAACCTGTCAGCTGTGGCTGACCCATCTTCTCTGCCCCCAGGAAACAACAATGAGGATTGGGCTAAGAATCTGAAGAGTGAAGACTTTCAGCTGCTGTGCCATGATGGCAGTAAGAAGGCTGTGACCTCAGTTGGGAACTGCTTCCTAGCCCGAGGCCCAAATCATGGTGTAGTCTCACGGAAAGACAAGGCAGCTTGTGTTCGCAAGATGTTACACGACCAGCAGGTACAGAACAACCAGGGCCTCCCACCCTTTCTTCCTGGGTGGTGTGGATTATTTGGGAGAGTTCAGTGCTAAGTGCAGCCCATACTCCAGGATTCTCTTTCTGGGAGCTGGAATTGGGAGGCCATGGATTGTGGAACTGGATCTCCCAGGCCTGGCTCTGCTATATCCCTGTTATGAGAGGTTCGGGGGATTCGATCGGAGACGTAAAAGAAACTTTCCACTCCAAACAAATGGACTGAAGGTATATTTTATTATATAGAGGATAGTAAAGGCGATAGTCCGCAAACAGATCCGAATAGGTCAAATAATAAGAGGGAAAAACACCAGCTCGATCGGAAAGGGAAACACCAGATCGGCTGAGATAGCGGCAGATTCGAATAGGTCATATAATAAGAGGTAAAAACATCAGATCGATCGGAAAGGGAAACACCAGATCGACTGAAGGGAAATGACACAAATCAACTGGAAAGAGAAACACCAGGTTGACCGAAAAGAGAACACATCAGATCAATTACTTTACAATAAATCAATTACTCACAACATCCACGCCCCACTGCTGGGAGAGGCCTGTCAATCGACACAGCTGGGCGGGAATCACACGTCCTGGGCAAGGCGTCCCTTCCACAGGTGGAACTCTCACCAAGCCTCGGTTTCCAGCAGTTTATATAAGCAGGTACAGAGTCTACAGAGCAAGCATTCAGTGTTCCCATGCACAAATGGTTATCAGTCGCATATGTGCACTGAGTCCCCTGGCTATCGTCCCAGCCCAGTAGTTGTGTACGCGCATTGTTTTCTCTGGTTATCATCCCAGCCCAGCACAGATGGCCAGTCTGTCCCAGTCTGCGGTGCCCAAAGGGCCTTGAAATTTTTACACATTGCAACTATCTCCATGGGAGAATGGCCAGTTCCCACCACGCAGAAAGCAGCTTTTATATTTCTTTTTGTGCTGGTGGCTGTAGGTCAATGGAGCGGCCAAACATGGCTGTACTCATGTCAAGACAATCCCCTGGTCACTGGAGATTAGTCCCCATCCGATCTGCATGTCCTCAGGTCCAAGAATCTACCTTCCTGCTCGCACCTGACCATGCTCTGTGGTACCCTCATTTTCCCTATTTCTGCCTTTTTTTAAACAAAGGAGACTGATCCCATGTCCCAGCCCTCCTTGATACAAGTCATGAAATGCGGATTTGTGTTTCTTTTGATTAGGCAGACTGAGAATCATTCCAACATCCAGAAAAACCCAGGACCCCTACTCTCACGGAGCTTGTCTTCTGGGGAAAACAACCACCTCAGGGCTGGCCTTGTGGGAAAGAGGGGCTGCCTGAGTATTCTAATCCGAAAGGCTCCTCTACCCACAAATACCACCTTCCCCTCACCGACAGCTTCCTGCCTGTTGATTCACCATTAGTTTGCTTTTTTAACAATTAAGATAGCATATCTTTATGAGTCCTCTTAAGGTAAATGATAATAAGCATTTAGTGAACATTTCCTAGGTGCTAGATGGAATGTTAAAATTTTTGTAATCATCACTTCACTTGTAATCTTAGGAAGCCTGAAGTAGTCAAGCCTCTTGCCCAAGATAGGATCAAAGATGCAGTCAGACATAAACTTCTCACAACTACCTGTATCACCCCTCATTGGGTGGCTCCCATTTAATATCTTCTTTGAAAAAACACTTTGAAGGGACATGTTTCTGACCTCTCATTTCCTGTAAGCAGCCCCTGAGAGATATGCCAAGAAGTGGGGAAGACAGATCAGAGAAGTCAGGAGTGGGTGGGTGAGTAAGAGGGAGTTCCCAGAGGGGTTGGGACCAGGATGAACCCTACAGAGGACTTTGAGGCCTCATGAAAATGTGGAGCTGGGGCCAAAAATGGGTAAATGCCAGGTGAGGGGTGTGGAAAGATCCCGAGGCACCCTCTGCAGATTCCCTTTCTTCCCAGAGCTGATTCCCAGCTTTCAGCATCCTCCATCACATCCATGTGTTCCCAGCTGTTCATTGCCACAGCTCCTCACACACTTTCTGTCCATTTGACAGATGTTGTTTGGAAAAACTGGAAATGCCTGCCCGGACAAGTTTTGTTTGTTCCAGTCAAAAACCAAGGACCTTCTGTTCAGGGATGACACACAATGTTTGGCCAACCTTCAGCACACAACAACATATGAATCCTACTTAGGAGCAGAGTATGTCATGGCGGTGGCTAACCTGAGACAATGCTCAACCTCGAGTGAGTAGGAGGAACAGCATGGGAGAAGCTGCAAAGCAAACACAGTTGGGGTTCTGGGTGGTGGGTACAAAAGGAGGAGTGGGCTGTAGCTTCCAGGAGATGACCCATGGACAAGATGAAATGATGAGGGAACAGTGTCATCTCGGCATGTATGAAAGGCTGCCTGTATGGGCAGATGGTAAGGTGGACACAGGCTCAGGGCACTGAGGTAGTGAACTACCTGGACATGCAGAATTCCATGTTATTACTAAGAACAGTAAGAGGTTTATGTGCACGTGCCCATTGCTCTGCACTAAAATCCTTTTTATACAGAGCTGCGTTATCCAATATGGTAGCCTCTAGCTACATGTGCTATTTAAGTTTAAATTAATTAAAATTAAACAAAATAAAAAATTAAGTTCCTCAGTCACACCAGCCACAATTCAAGTGCTCAATAGCTACATGTGGCTCCATATAGGTGAGAAAAAAGAACATTTCTGTCATCGCAGAAAGTTCTTTTATACAGCGTTGCTCTCGAGAACTTGAATAATGATAAGTTCTGGTTACTATAAAGTTGCCATACATACTACTCATCTAGAACACCAGTTTCCTAAGCATTAAAATACAACAAAACATACTTTTGCACTATAACTATGTTGGATATCATTTAATCACTTGAAATCATTTGGAAGATGTGGAAGAATAACATGTGGATGTAGGGTGGTTATTCTTCAAATTTTGCGTGCATGTAAGTGAGCCATGGTCCTTAAAATACTGATTCCCAGGCCCTGGGGATACTGATTCAGCAAGTCTGTTCCAGGGTCAGAATTTCTGCATTTTAACAGCTGCCCCACATAATTCCCACGTAAGGAACATGCTTGTCCACGGCCACTGTTGGGGGCACCCAGGTTATATTTACCTAACCTGTATCCTCCATGAGGGTTTGTGAAAGTCTGGGTCTGCTGTTCTCTGCTCCATTCCCAGCCCTTAGCACAGAAACTGGTATGTGCCAGGTGCTTAGTGCATCTTGTTATGTTAGTTCCTCACCTGCCTAAAAAGGTCAGAGAGGACAGTCCTCCCAGGTTCCTTCCAACCACATGGACTCAGGTGTGAGAGCCCCACCTATAAGACACAAGGTGGGGGATCATAAGGGCAGGGAAATCATGTTACCATCCTTGGTGCACGGCACTGCCTGGAAAAGCACAGGAGCTGTGCAGGCAAGAGGAGACGGCCACTGGGAGGATGGCTAGTCCACCCATCAGAAAAGCAGGGTCTGAATGCTTTTGTATCAGGCTTAACTGTTCATTCACTCAACAGAAAATAAACATAAGTAGATTCTGACTGTCCTGCCTCTCTGCTCTGCCCCACAGAACTCCTGGAAGCCTGCACTTTCCACAGAGCTTAAAATCCAAGAGGTGGGGTCACCACCAGTTGGAGATGGGAGCTCACGTGACCTATAAGCTTCCCTCTGCTCTCACTCGCCTGAGTGGCTGCGTTCACAGCTTGGCGGTGGTACCTCTGCAGAACATAAAATAAAAATTATTGTTGGTTTTTTCTTTTAAAAACTTCATTCTTTCCTAAATATTGGGCCTGGAAGGATTTCTTTTATACTATCTGACTAAATACACGTGCAGCTGAGCTCTTCCTTCAGAGCTCCAGATTCATCTGATCTTTCCTACAGCTTTGGTTGTGGTGCCACAGCCACATCTCCTGAGTACAGTCCACGTAGGAATTCTTTCTAAAAGGGGCCTGTGTGGTTATTATAAAAGAATCAAGTGTATATGGCTGTGTGTGTGTGTGTGTGCGTGTGTGTGCACGTGTGTTGCTAGAAAAGGGGCAGGAAGGAGGATGTGGAGTGAGTCACTGAGATGGAGTGTTCAAGGGAATACCGAAAAAGAATACGGAAGATTTGTATGTTTTAAGAATATTTTTAAGGAATTTTATCAGGTATACTTAAGGTCCAGTTCTAACTGGTTGGAAAAGTGAATCATTAGAACATCTTCTTGCTAAAAATCATCCTTGACCCCGACTCCATGGCAGCCCTGTCTCCTCCCTTTTTCAGTCGAGCTCCTGAAAGGTGGAGGCTCACTTTTTCCACGCCTCTCTTATTATTAGTGACTGAACACATGGAAATCAGTCTTCTGCTCCACTTGCTTCCCTGCAGCTACCCTGGCCAAGTGCTGACAAGGTCATTGCCCACTTGCCAACTGTGAAAACCAATTTTAGCTTCTTTCATTCCTGAGTCTGTTTGCTGCACTTGATACAGCTGACCACTCACTCTTCCTTGGAACTCTCCCCAGCCTCTCTGACATGCTAGCTCTCTGCTTTGGTTCCTACCTCCGTCTGTCCATTTGTGGTCTTACTGTGGGCTCATCCTGCCAGCGCTGAAATTGTAGGGAAATCTTCCTGGGGTTCTTCTCAATTCAGTGCTCTTCTCACTCTTCAGACCCTCCCTAAGCAATGCTAATGGCTGCTGGACATCGACATCTATATCTATATTCTGACCCCTGCCTCCAGCGTCCCCACACTCATATGTCCTCCTCCCTATGCATCTATCCTGTAGAGTGTTCACAGCAATTAGAAGTCCAACAAATCAAAAACTGAAGTGATCACCCTGCTCCTTCCCTCTTCTGCTTCCCTAATGCAACTGTTGTTTCCTATATTTCACATAAGGTAAAGATATAGTCTTCTATCCACTCATAGGAGCCATAAACCAAGAAGCCAAATTTCAATTTAATGTTTTCCCTCACTCCACATCCAGTGTCAGCAGGTTCTGTTGATTCTGCCTTCTAAACAACTCTCCAGTTGGCCCCTTTATTTCCTAACTCCTACCACAGCCACAGTTTACACTCAGGGGGAGAGCTACAGAGAGGGGGCTTCTGGACCCAACAGTCCACATCCCTCTTAACTTTCTAGTATCCAAGGAAACAGGGCTCTGGGTCCACGTTGCAGTCAAGACCTAATGTTGACCTTCGTACACACAGCTCTACTTCACTTTGAGCCTATCAACACTCTGTCTTATTTAATATTCACCTAAACTCCCCCTTACCCCAAATCCTATAATAACTCTTCCTTTTCCTTTGTTTGGTGAGATGCCCCATGGTTCCCCTGGGGGGTAGTCTGTCTTGTTGCAATGAGTCGACAAACCTAATTTTGTCATCAATGTACTGAGTACCTACCATGAGCCAGGCACTGTTCCAGGGACTGCAAATACAGAAGAGCATCCTCTAGTCTCTTAAAATAATTTCAGATTACTTTTGTTTATTCCTCTCTGTAGACTGCCTTCTTATCAGTATATACGTACAGAGAAATGTCTGAAATAATGTTCACCAGATACTATGGTATAAACATTGAGGTGATTTGTGGCTTTCTTCTTCGATCTTTCATTATCGCTTGAGTTTTTAATATAAGCATGTCTCATTTTAATTCTTTTTTTAAAAAAATCCTCTAAATATATTTTCAAAGAAACAGAGTTAAAGAGATAAGCTAGAGTAGGAGAATCATACAATTGGTGTCCCTGAATCTGAAATAGTTCCATTGTGCTTTGGAGCTACTGGGAACAGGAGAGGAGGGAAAAATGTGTCCGGTGAATGACACATTTTAATTAATGGAAGAGAAGGAAAATTGTCTCCCTATGTTTGTTTTGGTGTAACTCTCCATCTGCTATTTGAATCAAGGAGTGGAACCCTTCCAGCAAGCAGCAGTCAATGTCTGCATGTCCTTCCTCTGCCTTCATCCCCACAGAGCCCCTGGAAGCCTGTGGTGTCTGCGAGGTGGAGATGTGAGAGGACAGAAAGCAGCTGATACCATCCCCTCCTGCTCTCATTTCCTGAGAATAGCAGCACCACCTTCTTACTTGAGAGTGGAAGGCATGCACATTTCTTCTGCTTTCGTAATACCCAGGAAACAAATAGAAAAAAAAAAATATGACTGTGTCTTGTTAAACCCTTCTTTCATCATTCCCAAATTTCACCACCAAGGCAGCACTTTTTATTCACATAGCTCTGACTAAAAATCCTTATACAGTTAGGACAGTTATGGTAGGTGTTATCCATGTCTGGCCTTTCCTCCTTCCCTGCATTTTTAGTCCCTAACAGAGGAACCAATGGTTACTATAAAGGAGCTGCGTGTGTGTGTATGTGTGTGTCTGTGTCTATGTGTCTGTGTGTGTGTGCCGGGTGGTGGATACAGAGCAGGGGTCAAGACCATAAGAAAGAAAAGAAATAGAACGCAGTAAGATTACTATCAGTTCCGACAGTTTTAACTGATAATGCTAATCTAAAGTAAAGTAGTTGGTTTACTTACTTTAACCTCACATCCTAAACATCCTTCCTTAATCTGGAGTCCCTATTGCCTACCCATCAACAAAACTCCTGGAAACGAATTGTACTGTGGTAGAGCATACAGTTAAGAGTAAAGGAGGCAAACTGCCTGGGATCAATGGGTAAAGTACTTAACCCTGCTTCAGTTTGCCCTCTGTAAAATGGGGATAATGGGTCATTGTGAGGATTAAACAAATTAATAAATCAAAAGTATCTAGAACAATGCCTGGCACTAGCAAGCACTTATTAATGTTAGCAATTACCCTCATTCCCCACCCTCTTCTCCACCTACCACAGTCTTGCTTCCATACCCACCCCCCACCCCCACCCTTACCCTGCTGCTCCCCCTGAGCTCACTTTTTTTTTCAGTCTCTCCTCATAGGAGCTTCTCTGTTACAAGAGATGCTGCTGACCTTTTCCAGGACAGGTTTTACTCCTGTGTCACTGACTCTTCCTTCTTAGGCTTCTTTGTGGGTTCCTTTCTCCTCACTCTTCATGCTCTCCATGATTTTAATGACCACTGATTTACATATGACTCCCAAATGAAAATCTAGCACCTATTGCTGAAACTTTACTTTTGTTTACTGTATCACCTGCTGGATATAAGATTTTAGATTTCCCAGAGGCACCTGAAACTCAATATATGCAAAAGAGAGGCAAGTTTCATTCTGGCTATGTCCCCAGCTCCAAAGTCCCTCCAGCTGAGCTCTCTAATTCACTTTATGCACTCTGATCTTCCCAGTAACCCAAACCAACGGCTTCAGATGCAGTCTTGATAACTCTCCTTCTCCTTAACTCAGCATATCCAATTAATCACCACATCCTATATATTTTCCCTCTAAACATCTCTCAAATCTGTGCCCTCCTTTCCACACCTCCCTCCGTCCCTGGTTCAGACCCTGTGCGTCTTTTGCCAAAACACTGCAACAGTCCCCAGCTGGTCTCCCTGCCTCCAGTCTTTTCTCTCTCAAATCATAGTTCTCCATTCATCTGCCAATCACCTAGGTTATCTCAACTGAAACTTCTTATTGCATTCTGGATAAAGTTTAGCTTCCTCAGCATAGCACACAGTCCCTTCAAGTCTGCTTCCTGCCCACCTGTCCCCTTTCCTGCTTCATCTCCTGCCACTTCTGCCAAAATGACTCCTGCTTAACGACAGCAACTGCAAACTGGCAGCCCCCAGGCTGGCCACTTCTGGCCCAATGAGGTGTTTTATTCGGGCCACAAGTTTTTGAATGTTTTCCACAACTTGCTGAAATTTGAAAAGTGAAAAATTTCCCATAAAACCTGTATTTCGGGCTTCTCTTGAAAAACTGTCACAACTGGCCACCTTGGTCCTACACACCTGCCCCGCAAAGATGTGGCTGCCCGCTTTGGGCAGGAATGATAGCTGCAGTTTTCAACAGTCCCCACCCCTCCCATTGATTTTCCTCGTTGCTTCCCTTCCTGTAGATACTCAGCGGCAGCCCTGGATTTACAGTGTAGGGACCCTGCATTGCTCATTTTCTTCTGCACGGAGCACCCTTTCTCCTTTTACGCCTGCGGAGGCTAACTCACCCTTCGTGGCTCAGTGTCTGTCACTTTCCTCCAGGAGCCTTTCTCTGAACTCGTGCTGGACTAAGCGTCCCTTTCTCTAGTCCCGTATCGCACTGTACATCCTGGGTCACATCCCATGCCACATTATATTCGGAGGAAATGTTTCGGTAATACTTGAGTTCCTCACAAGACTCACCTCACGAAGGGAGCGACTGGAAATCCTCAGTGGAGATTTCTTGAGCCATTTATTTATTCATCATTCCCTCAACAACCATGAATAGGGCGGCAACATTTAGCTCATATCTTAAAGGATGAGTGTGTCACTCGCGAAACACCCGTGACTTCGCGCTCGTTCGGTAGACGTACAATGTCCCAGAGAACTACAACTCCCATCAGGACCTTCAGGATCCCGGCCCCCGAAGGAGGAAACGCAGCTTAGGAACTACCTCTCCCGTGATGCTTCGCTTCGGACGCCTGCGCACAGCCCAGGGCCACGTTGCTTTTGCGGCGCCGGAGACCACGCGCCTCAGCCATGGCTTCCGTGGACTCCCGGCGGGTGGGCAATGGAGGCGGTGTTGGGGGTACTTTCCAGCCC